AATCCTCAAGCATATTATTAGGAAGTTTATTTTCATGTCCTTTCCCTACAACACACAAAAATGAAAACGTTTTTCTCGATCCTGTCCATTCAGGTTTTAGAAAGACAAAATAGGTCGCGCATGTATGTGAAATTTCTTTCATAATGACTTTAAGTGATTTGTTCTACTAACAAAAGTAAAATATGAATATGAAATAATCTAATTTTATTATATGTGTTGCAAAATGTTAACTTCTATCAGTATCTTTCCAGTACAAAAAAATTGATCTTATCAAGTGATGCGGTCAAAACATCAAAGGCCTGAACAGTTCACTCCCGATAATTCAGCGGACCCTCGTTTACTCAAATCCCACGCAAACACGAACCAAAATCGATTTCCCCTGGATTTCCTTCATACATTTACTATAATTTTACCCTCAGTAACTTGAACCCTCGATAGTCGAAGTAAGTTTTGTTTCCGTTCAGATCATTTTTATATAAATTTACCCTCGATAACTCGAGCTATGCTTTGAGCGCCTGAAAAGTCGAATAAAGAAGTGCACTGCAGTCCGAAACATTGAATTTATTTTAAAAACCCGTCCACGTATTCTCTGTCTGTAGTTTTTGGTCAGTCCAGATTAAATACAGTGTCCAGCACTGAGTATTTATCAAGCTTTGAAGTGTGCATGTTACTTGAATTCATTCCCCATCCATTTCTTTATAGTTTCGGTTATTTACTTCGAACTCCCGCTAACTCGAACTATTTAAGATTTCCCTTAAAGATTCGAGTTATCGGGAGTCGACTGTATTCATATTATATACACATATTAAAACAACTTGACAAGCGCGTTCCGATTTTTACATTTAACAGCTTAAAACAGGACGTAATAATTTAAAATGCAAAGAAATCTAACACATTACTACGCTTTTTCTGTCTCTGTTGCTTTTGTAGATGTCTAAAATCCTGCTCACTCTGCTTATAACATTGTCGACAGCTCTCGTTTTTAGAACACGTGGTGAGTAAGATTCATCAATCTTAATGAAGGTCTCAGTGGGGTTGACCGCTAGCCGTAAAACAGCCTAAAATTTTAGTCGTTGGCCCCACCAAAAAAATTGAGACAACGGCGCAATCTCGTCGAGATAATACTTTTCCGTTGCCGTCACTTTTTCTGACCATAACCTGTACTATTGACGTCATTTTACCGGATATCGTAAACGTCTTCTATGTTTGGTCAACGCTTCCTGGTTATGAAGAATTAGCCGGGGGATTTCAGCCAAAAAGAAACAGAGAAATATTTTGAATGAATAATAATAACCTCTGACCAGGGGCCTATCTGCTGTTAACTGTAAATGATTCTACCCTATTGAGACCCTTGTATATGTTTACGAAAATATCATTTTGTCTTGTACTGTTACTCAAAATATTACAGAGAAAGTTCTTAGCCATGTTTTAAGTTACCAATGAATAGGAACATTTGAAATCGGGCGGTAACTGCCTTAACCCTCAAATCGACATCAGGAGATTTTAAAAAAACTGCTGATGATATAAAATGGAGTGTGTTCAAATTCTCTTTTTGCAAACTGCTGTATCTAGATATTCTTTTTTTTTCTTGTTTGATTTAATATTGATAAAAATATTTCAAAATTATTAGCTGAGGCAGAGTATGATACCAAAAGGTTTATAGATCGAGAAGGGTGTTTAATATCCGCCTAAACAACAGACCAGGTTGAGACCAACTACGCTCTTCTGGCTCTGTTTAATTTCCCATTTCCTATCAGAGCCGAAATCATTAAGTGAATTGTTTTAATATACATTTACTCTTTGTCCAAGCTCTTCGTTATCCTATATTTTTGTCATAAACTGTAATCATATGAATAATTTGAAGATTAACAAGTTCATCGTGTTTGAGCGATTAACCGCCATTTTCTTAATAGCGGCTGTACTGAATGATGAACAGAGACTGTTACGTAACCTGTTTCAAAACTACAGCAAATCTTCTCGACCCGTCCTCAAAAGAAATTCCCAAGTGGTCGTCATATTTAGAGCAAAACTCAAACAGATAATAGATTTGGTAAGTAGGAATAAATAGTAAGTGTTAATGAAATTAATTAGAGATACTGGAATAGCAAACAGATGAAAAACTTAAATGAGAGCTAACGAGGGTAAGCGAGTCACGAAAAAGCCCCAAGGATGGTGCCTACAGTATTACTTTATTGTATTTTATTTTACTTTTATGCGAATGAAAATAACTGTTATCAATTGGAATAACGAAATGAAATTGCGAGAGAAATTTCGTGTATTTACCTGCTGGGTTTTCAGATATAGGTAATACCTCCCTTATATTCACAAAGCTTATCAGTAAGTAGTATCCCCATACTTGTTATAATTTAAAGCATTAGTCGCCAACACAAGTTGTATTAGCGACCAATAAGTTAAAGGAATTTTAGTTTGTTGATTCGATAGAATAAAGTGGCCGCTGTATGTTAAAGAAAAACAATAAACACGATTCAGGTTCACTGTATATGTCCCGTATCATTTATGACGTAGCACAGTAACAATATAGACTTAACAAGACGCTACGGAGCGTACACTTCGGCGTCGTGGTTGTGGAACTAATTAATTGTAAGTGCGGAGGAATAGTAAGAAATCAAATACGGCAAGAGTAAGGTGTTAATTTGTGAAATTATGGGATTTGTCAGGATATTCTGAAAAGAGCAACATCCAAGAGGCCTACTTACCAAAAACTAGCATTTCGGGACAAATTGTCTCCGAGATATTAGCCCAGTTATGCTCTGATGACTCCATACAAATCCTTCTAAAAAAACAATTCTCTATTTTTCTTTGTCACATCAGGCTTCAAAAACAGCATAGCAGTCTCATGTACTGATTAAAGATATGTAAGGCATGGGTAAGGAGTCAATTACGTTTAGCATGGAATTGGCTAAAACTCAAAGTCACGAGTTCGAATGTTTTGAGGATAATTATTCACTGACTATCAGCACGCAGGGATGTCGGATTAACACAAGGAAGTTTAACACCAAAGGAACATAGCCTTTACAGAGCTTTAAAACAGGGCATCCATCAACACAAACTTGACTTGAACTTTGAGTAAA